CTATTACCGATTCGATTCTAGTAACGCATTTTAAGGTACACCTAAACTACTCTGGCCCTCAAGGCCTCAGTTCATTTTCAGCAAAATGTCGAACGTGAACGTTGAATTATAAGTTGCAGGAATACGCATTTCGCGTAAGCTACTTAAGCTAAAAACTAAAGAAGAAGAGACAAAGTTACACACATATCAGCGTCTCTTTAGTTTAGAGACAAAAATTAATTTATACGGTGGTAAAGGCTTCCGGCAGTTCGTAAGACGCCCCCCGAATATGGAACTTCATGCAAGGTACACTGCAAGAGGATCCAGTATTATGGTATGGGGATGTTTCTCATATCATGGTGTGGGGCCAACATATTGAATAAAAATTATGATGGACCAGAGTAACGTAAAAAAACGAAGGATGTTATGATTCCATTCGCCGAAGAGAAATGCCACACAAATTTAGGTTTTTATTATATACTACTATTTTGCTGCTCGCAGAAATTTCCATGAAAATACATCTTACGTAAATTAATTTTTTTAGTGTTTATTTAAATAAAACTCTTTTGATCCTACATTTGGATATGAAATTGTCCTTCAGTTTTCCAATAAAATGAAAGCAACTATTATCTTCGTTTTCTAGTAATTTTAGAAAATGTTAACCGTAAGTGCACACTACTATTTTAGTGGTCGCAGCTGTGTATGTATATGCATACATACATAGTTGAATGATCATCTCTGTATTTTTGGTTTATTACATTGAGGCAAATATACACTAAGGGCAGGATAAAAAAAAAGTGGGCAGTATACCCGTACATGCCATGTAATTAAAAGTTCTCATAATATGGCGAAGCACGCACTGTATGTACTTTAATCGAAAGAAAAACTAAAAATTTTACACCAATGTTCTGCACGAAAACATGCGGTAAAATTAATGAAAATTGATTAATGAAATAAACATATAAATTATAAACACACATACATATTGTTTCAGCGAACACACAGCGAACACACACACGCACTTGTATATTGCACTCCCGCCCAAAACCAAGTGCAGCGAATAAACACACGCACTTGTGCTTAAAAATAATTCGTTCGTTTTCATTGGGTATGCATTTTTTAATGCACTTCTCAACTGCCGCAGAACAAAACCTACTAAAGTAGTTAATTGCTGGCACTCCAAATCATACTCAACAAACTTGCTTGATGCATCACAACTCTCTCGGAGTTGTCTCACGGGGCTGTGTCAGGGATGATAAATGAGTTTGGTAATTTTTGTACCAAATGGACAAAAAGAATGTACTAAATCAGCCGAAAAAGTACCAAAATTTAAAAGACCGGACAGACATATGTATATGGGTAATTTCCAAACAAAGTGTTCATGGCAGGTATTTTATATATTTTTTTTAAGATTGATAATCTTGTCCTCTAAAATCGTTTACTGACGCGAATACGAAACTGCTTTCAGGCTCCTCAAAAATTAATTTTTGGGCTTATTTTTGCATTTTTGTAAAATATTTTTCAGAATGTAACATTTGCATATTACTTTTAAACTCATTTATCACATAAGCCAATGTTGGAGGTTTTTTCCGCCTCCTTTAAGACATTAACGTGACGTTTTTCTCGGGAGGCTGGTTTTTTGTTTAATCTTTCTTCAGCAACAAGTTCCCATATGTGCCATTTGAACACTTTTGGAGAAACAAGCGAATTAAATAAAAAATCCTTTTCCACCTAAAAGTGACCTTCTAGAAATATTTCACTTTTTTTCTAAAAGTCTAATTTCACGAAAATATAAAATCAAGGAAATCATTGAAACCCCTGAAGCAATATAAAAAAAACTGGGTGACTTTCCGGAAATATTAAGCCTTACTCGTTAATATTAAATACCTTTTTATTGGTTGGGTCAGTGTGTACTGCACCAAAAATCTGGAAAAGTTTCGTCCGTGGACTTGGATGCGTAACATTATATGTACTTGTACATATGCATAGTTTAAAAAGGTTCCATTACACCCAATAATTCAAGTTAATCAACAAAACCATCCAAGTATGTTTATTAAGTGCGAGTAACACAAAGAAAAGTTGCTTATATTATAGCAACAACTTTTTGATGATTTTAAAAAGTCTTTCGTTTTTAATAAACACCATGCATTTACCTGTATAAAGTAGGAAAAAGATGACTGCATTTTTATCCACAAGTCGTATTTCTACATAATTTGTCGTAAAGCTGTATTTTGAAAAAATTGTATCAAAAATGTCGATGTAGACCAATGTACTTTTGGGATCCAAAATGTATCAAAAAAGTACAATTGTACCATCAATTTCATCACTGGGCTCTGTATTGCCTTTGGCATACAGAGGTTGTACAAGAGCTACCATTGGCCACAGCGCCTACCCAATTTTCTAACTTAAATAAATAACCGGTGCTAAGGACTCTGCATGACTTACAACCATGCAGAGGTGGTAACTGATGGTTATCATTGGCCCCGACGCCTACCCAAAACATTTTTGCTTTAATAAATTTGTATGCAAATACATTCATCCTGGTCCTGTCCTCTCACTGAGTTATTCGCATATGTATACGCGATATGACTACGGTGACCATTTTGAATGTTTTCATATTTTACGAGGTTAACCGGAATCGGTCTATTAACAAGTAATTTTTAAGCAAAAAACACAACGGACGGAGGAGTAAGCCAAATTAGTATGGCACCACCACGGAGCTTTCTGATAAAAAAAAGAGTTATCAAAATTCATTGACGTGGTCCAAAGTTATGCGGTAACATATCCGACAAAGGCACGACCTTCACCCATCTGTTTAATATGGATGATCGTTTTTTTATGTAATTTAACGTGTTAATAAATATTTTACGAGTGGGTTTGCAGAAAAAAATCCTGGCCAGGATATTTTTAATCAAATATTCAAAATATATTTTTATTTCTTTAATTCTATAATCATTTTTTTAATGAACAAATTATATACCAATCGAAAGTATTAAGCCTGTAAAACGTGAAAACGTTGGATTGTCTATTTTTTTTTTGGCCTACCTATCGGGTTGGCAGGTATGAACAGGTAGGTAATATTAGTAATTTTCACTCATCTGTTTAACACATTCTATAGAATTGAAAGCATAATTGGTTGGTATATAAATAATTTGTTCTTTAAACAAATGAGTGCAAAATTTAAAAAATTATAATAATTTTTTAATATTTAATTAAAAATATCCTGACCAGGATTTTTTCAGCCAACGCACTCCCGAAATATTTCCTAACACGTTAAATTTCTTACAAAGTAGATTTCATCCACTAAACAGATGGATGAAGGTCTTGCCTTTGTCGGATCTCCTACTAATACATAAAAAAAATATTCCGACGAATTGTTAACCTTCTCCTTTATGTGAAGTCGGTTAAAAAATGCTAAAGATAAAATATGGGGCTTGCATAATGCATCAGCTGTCACAGTTGATTAAGGCCCATTTTTATCTTCGGAGTTACAGTATGGTGACTAACGCTGGCAAAAATACGTCCAAAAGAAAAATGTAAAGGGCGCTTATCACGGTGGCCTTTCCCTCCAACCACTGCAAAGCTCCTAACGCTCTCTGGGTCCTTCTTACACATTTTTCCTGCCTACTTTGATAACAAGTTTTCGACAAGAGTCCCCGTTATGAGCGAATGCTGAAGTGGAAAAAGCTATACACTAGTCCCATTTCAATCCGTTCCCACGACAGTCGGGTCTACGTAACCGGAACGACCCAGATTTATATCTGGTCAAGGACTGTTACTCCAGCAACACTCCCCAAAAACCCTTTGGGGAACTTGTATGCTGCTACAACAACAACAACAACCGTAGATATGACCAAACTTATAGTCCGTTTTCATTCACCTGCGAAATCTAATTACCGGTGTTTTGAATAGTAACCTGAAATCTGATTTAAATTTCCATTGACCACTAACTACTTTACGAAACGTCTTCTATTGCACAAAGCAAATTATATGAATTAAATCTTTTATCATACTGTCAATTGTCTTTATGTACCATCCAATTACTGAGCTATATTATCTATATTTCTCTTCCATTTGTTTTATAGGGTCTTCGTTTTTATTTACCTGCAATATTATTTAAGCAAAACTAATATCTCTAATTGAGGAAGAACTATTACAAAGGTATTGACGCGAAATGAAAATTTTCATAGGATGCATTTCCTTTATTAATCAAATCATTAGCACAATACGATCTTTTATAGCGCAACAAAATATTCATAACAACATATATATAACTAACTAAAACGGCAAAAATTACTTAAGACTAAATAAAAGTAGCATCAAATAAGTAACAAAGGAAGTAGTATTTTTAAGTGAGTTCTCCGATTCCGGGTCTACGTAACCGGAACGACCCAGATTTATATTTGGCCAAAGACTGTCACTCCAGCAACACTTCCCCAAAAACTCTTTGGGGAACTTGTATGCTGCTACAACAACAACAACATTCCAGGACATATATATAAAATAATACTTAATTAAACAATTACATAAAGAGCCCATCTCAGGGACTGAAGCGAAGCTAACGGAAATACGCATACAGAGGTGATAATCGTATAAAAATGTTTAGTTTCTCTTGAGCGAATGTAATTTTCTGCTTTTCTTAACGATAGCAATTAGCAAAGCATTTTTCTCAAATGTGAGATAGTGCAAAAATCCGTCCGCAAACAAAATTATTAAAAATCAACGCGTTTTTTTAGCCGCTTGAAACTTGCATTTCATTAGACTAAACAGTTTGCAATTTTGATGAAGATTTGTTGAAATTTATTCTATAATTATATATGGTTTTGGTTAAAGCTTGGATTGGATAGACAAATAACAACAAAAAACTTCACTTGAAAAACATTGTGAATATCAAAAAAAAATCAACGCACGGTCACTTGCTTGAGTCACTGTATTTATCTAGAATGTAAAGCTAATTCATTATCCATGGAACGATAATGGAAAATGATCATATGGTGAGCACTTAAATTGTTTGTACTTACATCTCTTATTTCCTTAATTTTTTGCCCTCCTTTGCCAATAACGCATCCAGCGAGACTCTGATGAATCAGCAGGCGTACATCAACCTCATCATCGCGCTACAATAAATATATTCAAATTAGTCAAATTGTATCTAATAAATCATTGCTCTCTTCATACCTCTTCGAAGTATTTCAGCATTTCGGATACAATCTGCAATGTTGACTCCAGATCCGATGATATCAAAATGGTGCTGTTAGTAAACCAGAAAAACGATAACATTTTATTATAAAGTATATTTAATTTTATCATAATAAGGTTTCATTTCTATAAAAGTCGCGCGCCTTTCAGGAGTCCACTTTCGACAAGACTGCCCGGAGTTGGGTAAGAGTGCCATTACTTTTCAAACAATCGCTGAATATAAACATCATGTGTTCATTCATAGTCATTGGTAATCTGACACAAACTTCTACTAAATTCAACTATCGACACTGGGTTAATATTAACAAAAAGTCTGTTATATTTGTAAGCGGTTAGTAAATTTCACAAGCACTATATGTTTTCGAACAGGGTTTTCGATCATTTTCCAAAATAAGTTAGATGGAATGAGTACATAAAATGATTTAGTTATATAAAAACAATTTACTCAATAAGATGTTAACATTTTAAAGGTAGATAGCATTTAAGGAAGCATCAAAAGGTGTGTGTGTGTGTGTGTAAGGGCGCGGATGCTAAGACTTTTTTATTGACTCTTTTACATGCTTGCCTCAAATTAGCTTTATATACATACATACTATATCGTCGTTTAAAGTACAAAACCGCGTATCAACAAAATGCAAAACCGCGTATCAAGATAATGCAAAACCGCGTGTGTGAGGCTGCATAAATTATTTTCTAGAGAGTAAAAATGGTTCAAAATTGTTCTCTTTTTTATCAAGCAATCGCATTTCTGGCTAGCATATTTTAGGACGAACGGATAAGGATTAGGCCAAGAGTTTGTGTGCGCAAATCCAATTTTTGGCAGCCAATGTTAGTTACGCGGTTTTGCAGAATGACGTAACGCGGTTTTGTACTTTAAACGACGATATACATATATTATATTAGAGTGGTTAAAAATTTTTTTTTTGGAAATTCATAAAAATTACTGGATTTGTTCGAAACCCGGCACTCGAGTTTTTTTGGTCGCAGATTACGAATCTGAAGTAAATTTTTTTAAATTCAAAATGGCGGATCCAATATCAAAACGTTAATACTGAACGTATTAAGCATTGTCAAGGGTTGAAACTCGTTTCCAGTGGGTTTCTGAGCTTGCTGATTATGAATCTGATGTCAGTTTTTCAAAATTCAAAATGGTGGATCCAAAAAGGCGACCAACTTTAAAAAAAATATTTGTTTGAAACTCTTGGCGGTCATTTTGAGTTTTGATAATCTGATCATTAATTAAAACACCAGCGTTTTTATAAAACAACCGTCCAGCGGTACCTCTAAAAAAACTTTTTTTTCAAAATAAAGAAATACGTGTCTCTTTTTTTTATCACAAATAACAATATTCTGATGTAGCGTTTATGAATTTCCAAAAGCAAAGTTTTTATGAACCACTCTAATATACATATATGGGCAGTATACGTATCGAAAAAGTAAAATCAATTTGTTTCAATCTACTTTCGACAAGAACTATAAAAGTGGCAGCAATATGAACATGTTTTTTCTCGGCACCGTGTAAAAACAGACAAAACCAATTTCTCCTTGTAACTTTTTTATTTAATTGTAAATTTTTACGTATTGTAGCCATTATGATGGTAATAAAAGCATTCGAACGTTTCCATGGGCAGTCGATCTACGAAACTGAAATGGCCCAGACTTATTTATTGCCAAGAATGTAACCCCATTATTCCCCAAAACACTTTGTTTCACACTAAACAAAATTATTATATGATGTAAAATATAAAAATTAGAAAACGGCACCTTGTACTGAACAATTAATTTCATTAAAATACTTTCGAAAATTGTTGTTTATGGCCAAAAATGTCATAACTTAACCTTTAACTGTGGAGGTGGTGGTAAAATTTACCCCCCTTTAAATTTTTTTTAATTACTCTCCTATGTTGCGCTCCAGCAACTTGATTTTCTCAGTATCTTCTCATTTCATTGTCGTTATTGATCAGTTATATTTTTGCTGTGGAAGGTGTAGCGTGGGCGGAGAAATGCTGATGCTGGTGTAAAAATTGCCACTCCTCAACGTTTATGCAACTTTTTCTTTCATGGAATGTTGACCTGTATTTTTTACAATAACATTTTTTTAATATGATCTCTTTTATTTCTTTAAATATATATATTTGGCTGTGAAAACATGCCCCTTAAGCTTTAGATTAATTTTTATTTTACACTTTTTTTATAAGTTTTCTATGTGATGCTTTCGTTCTTGTGAATAATAAAAGCTTGGTGAAATAAAGTGGGACTTTTGTTGATTTTAAAAGAAAAAATAAAATTTTGTATTTATTTTAACTTAAAAATCTAGTAGCTTAGTTTAAAAGAAAAAATAATTATAAAATGGCCAATTTGTATTCAAATTTCTAACTTAAATTCGAAGGGGTAAAATTTACCACCAGGTCACAGACTATGTCCAAAAATTCACCTCCGTAGTTAAAGGTTAATATCAATTTATCAACTCGGAAGTCATATAGTATTTAGCTGTTTTTACGGGGGCGCTGAAAACCAAACTTTTTACGTTGCTGAATTCTTCTCATAAATAGTAAGTGTTCAAAATCGGTTGGTACATTTAGTCTTCATTTGTATTTGATTTCGAATTTTATTCTTTGGAATACGCATGTATATATGTGTATATGTATGTATGTGTAAGCAAGCATAAGACGTCGAATTACACAAAAAAGTGTTTTGAATGGGATATCAAAGCTTTTCATCTTTTAAATCACTTTTGGATTTATTTGGCTTTAAAGGTTAGCTGTGGAAAATAAATAATTTAATAATGAAAATATTTTCATAATAATGTTATTCGGTTAAAAAATTGTATGAAGTGATTAAGGATTCGATAACAATACTAATTTATTTTGCAAATTTGAATTTATCCATTATCAAATCTTGTACATTCTCCCCTTGAATTCTAGTATGCAAACAAACAAAAAATTTCACAACATTAGAAGGCGTTACGATTAGCATATTGGAAATACATATGTATGTATCTATAGTAATGCCTAAATTTTATAATGCAAGTGGGTGGAGGCCTGAATTTTACGGAATTATAGCTCGGTCTGGGTACGTACAAGTTTATGATAGTTCGTAACAATTGTTACAAGTTATCATCTGTTGGCGTCTGCGAACGCAAAAACTTTCAAATTAGGGGAAATGGAGAGAGCGGAAATGACAGTTGATGCTGAGAGGAAATTGCAAGTTTAAACTGGATACATTTTTACTCGTAACAATTTGCCAGTAAGAAAAACAACTGTTTACACGCTGCTTCTTGTATTTTACACATGGAACGGAATACATTTTTGGAATTGAATAGTTAAAACTGCCAAAATTTAACGATTTGATAAACAAAAATTAAAACTAGTAACTACTAACCCGGCCGCTGTGGTGTAGCGGTAAGCAGTGCGCGCTTTCACTCACCAGCACCTGGGTTCAAGGCCTGGTCAAAGCAACATTGGAAAAAATTTAGAAAAAGGTTTTTCTTAACAGCGGTCGTCCCTCGGCAGGCAATGGCAAACCTCCGAGTGTATTTCTGCCATGAAAACAGCTTCTCATAAAAATACAATCGCCGTTCGGAGTCGGCGTAAAACTGTAGATCCCTCCGCTTTGTGTGACAATATTAAGGCGCACGCCACAAGTTGGAGGAGAAGCTCGGCCAAAAACTAACATATGTGTAAGCGCCAATCTATTATTATTATTAACTACTAGAAAAGTAAGCGTCTGTGTACTTTTTTGCATATTTCTCTCACTGAGAGCAAATCTTTGCTTACTCTAAGGAATTGCGTTATTGGCAGTTATTGGATATTTTTTAATGGGGATTACCCAGACAGAGCTATGTTTCGAGAGTTCTTCAGCGTGGTGCGGCACATATATATATATTATTATGTACGAATGTAGGTATGTATGTATAACTTAAGTTTTATGTATATATTAGGGTGCCCATCGAGAATGCTTTTTTTTTGGAAATCTCAAGACCCTACCCCCTAATTTTATTCGGTTTTATGAGAAATATTATCGCCTATTTTTTAAAGGTCATTTAGAGGTCGCGACCTGTCGATTTAGGTCAGAAAACACGATTTTGTATATTTATGAGTTTTTGAATGGCTATTTTTGATTCGATTTCAAAGATCGAATATGATCTGACAAGAGGATATATAAGCCCTTAAAATGGTATATAATAATCTATTGCCGGACTTGGCTTGTTGGGATTTTTTATCGGGTAAAATAAAATAAAACCATATTTCGCTTAATTTTTTAAATGTTGACCATCGCTAATTTCCACAATTTCAAAATATGTAGTACTATCTAAATTTAAATCTATTTTCAAATGAACTGATAGCTCATTTATTGCAATCGCATAAAAATTGTCGAAATTAGGCGACTTTTCTTAAATACGGCCTTGAACTTGTATTGTTTGTGTACCGGACTTTCAAATTTTTATAGCAGTATGACTAAGGAATTCATCAACATTTATTCAAATTTTTTATTTTTTTTTTACCCGACAAAAAATTCCAACAAGCCAAGTCCGGCAATAGATTATTATATACCATTTTAAAGGCTTATATATCCTCTTGTCAGATCATATTCGATCTTTGAAATCGAATCAAATATAGTCATTCAAAAACTCATGGATCTACGAAACCGTATTTTCTGACCTAAATCGACAGGTCGCGACCTTTAAAAAATCTATAAAAATAGGCAATAGTACGCCTAAAATTAAAACCAATTATAATGCAAGTTATGTTAAAAACTCGAAATGCAGATGTACGAATAGGAATAACGAATTACGAAATACGAAATTTTAGAAAGGACAACCAAAAAGCTCAACAAACATATATCTAGCATAGGTCTATTATAGTACTATATTGAATATTGTGATATTAAATAATCATTCTATTTAGATAAAAAAAATAGTCTTAGATATTGTAATGGTTGAGAGATTACCGTTCGGGGCCTTGGGAGTCGTCGACAGATACAGTGGCTTTGTACTGCATTTGCATTGATTGGTTGGCACAGTATTAGGTTTATAGTTAACATTTGGTCAGGTTGATTGATTGATGGCGTATAATAGTGGTGATGGTTTAGCGATACAATCAGTTAAGTTATTTTGTTGGTCAATTTGTGTTTTACATATTTACAGAAATGTGTTTTGGTTTTAATTATAATTCACCACGAGAATTATATTCACATTTTTGTGAGGCGGTACGCAGATGAAATATATTTCATGGAATAGTTTTTATATTCGTTTGTTTCCAACGGATTTTTTTATTTCAATGACAGACACAATCAGCAATACATGCAATTTGACACAATGGTATTCAAAATGGATTTGAATACCAGAGTTGACATAAGTCGTTGGTTTAAAGAGTTTAGATAAATTTGTTGTTACACGTTTTACGCGGGCACATCGGTGTTGACCAAACAGTCGTTTGGTGGTGGTGGTGGTGTTGGTGTTCAGATCAGACCAGGGCCAGTTCAGTTGTTGGGCGGGCAGTCGGGCGAGCAAATTAACGAGCAGGCCGGCAGGCGGGCAATCAGGTAGACGAATGGGCATTTATTTCGTACAGTTTCAGTTTTATTTTAATTTACGGTTTGTGATTTTGTTGGGTTTGCCGTTGATAAACACATTTCAGAGACCAAACCAGTACAGGGCATATCAAATCAGGCAGTAGATGGGCGATCGAGCAGGCAGTCACGGCAACGTTTATATTTCAACGTTTTCGATTTAAGTGTTTTATAATCGAATAGTTTCATTTCGAGTCGAATTGGTACGACACAGTTACATAGAACGAGATGGTGGGACAAGAGAAAAGAGAGAAAAATTGTTCATTTAGTTATGAGGTTAAGTGCATTTGGCTTATAAAAAACTTAGAAAATATTTTTTAGTTGACAATTCATAATTAATAAATATAGCTCCTAATCTTATAGTTAATTAAAAGTAGACGCCATTTTAGACTGTATAGTCCAATAAATTCAATAAAAAGGAATGCATGAATAGAAGTTAACTAATTTTTTTAGTATGATTAAAATATTTTTTTTTCTTCATTTCAGTCTATGAGGAGGATTATAGCGAGGATTCTAGCGAGCCCAGAGCAATAAACGAGATTTCCAAAGTTAATTAGCTTTTCATTTGTGATTATTTATGCAATTTTTATTTTATACTAAAGACAAGAAATTGGAATATTAAAAGCATTAAATTTTATTGTCTGTTCGTGATGCGGACTCGGTTGAGTGTTTAAACGGAAGAGTTCGCTATAAAAACCGCAATCATTTGAAGAGATGGGATAATGCAATAAAGAGGAGTATTTCTAGACTGGATATTCTGGCATTTCTTTAAGTTACGGAAGGGACAGAAGGAGGAAATGGACGACGGAGTTTTCAATAATTGGCAACCAGTGAATTAATAATAGATTTATTTAAATACTTTACCTGAGTGCGCATTTTTTGAATATGCTGCCCTCCTTTACCGATGACCGCACCAGCAATCTGGAATTACAAATGCCCATTACAAGTTATATTCACCTCCAATTTGATTCTTAATGGAATACTTACATTACTCGGAATGAGGATACGAATTTGATCATCATTGCGACGACTACGCTTATCGGTATGAGGCCCGTCGTCATTGTTTTCTCGCTTCATCTTCATTTTCTCTGAAATTAGAGTAAATAAACATTTTATCAATAAAACGGTGTAGCTATGGTTTAAAACTCTTCTTTTTATATAACAGTTAATTTGAAAAAATAAAATACCTAGAGACCATGGCGTGTAGGGTCTTTTATAATAATAATTTAAAAAAAAACAAATATGCTGGAAAATTTTAATCTTTCAAATCATCTTCATACAAGAAAAAAATTAAAATAACGATTATTTACGTCCCAGAAAAAAACATTCAAATTCTTTGAAAATCAAAGATCTATACAATTTCAGTTAAAGACGCAGACGCAGTCTTAGCCCAAAAATATATTTATAATTCTCAAAAATCAAAGGGATTTTTCAGAATTGTCTAACTTGCACACTATTATGCTAAAATTGAATTGGCTACAAAGGGCATACCTAATAAGTTTCTAAAAAATTTTGCATAAAAAGTTTAAAATTTGGATGAATATATTTTTGATTTGTTAAATTTTCCTGAATCGTGCACAAAGTTTTAAACTTTGACTTATTTATATGGTTTATGTTAGATGTAGATAATGTAAAAAAATAAATGTGTGCTATTTACGTGAGCGCCACTGTATATTAGACTGGTTCAAAAATATCTGATATCTTTTTTTTCAAAATCCCTGTGAAATGTTTTCGGGACAGTGAAAAAAGACGCTTGTCAAATTTTCAGATTTAGAGGTCGCTTATCGCGAACTTATATTTCCTGTATAGTATATACTACAGCAGAGGTTCCCAAGCTTTTTTTCTCGTAGATTACTTTCAAACCTTTACTGGTTTCGGTGGACCCCTTGCTGCAACATTTCTAACATATTCCCAAAGCTAGTCAAAAAATGTGAAGATTATATCCAACGATTTAATTTACATCGCGGGTGTGTTCCAAAACTAAATTCGGAGTGGCAAAAATAAGAATAAAATATTTTATTGTATTCTATTTATTAATATAATGTGATTACGCACTTCCAAGTTTTAGAAACAGAGCTCGTAAAGTTATTGAAGTACTCTCTCGTTCTGAGGAGTTATATTTTTTAAGAGCACTCCGAGAGCTAGCGTTATTTAAATTATCTTCACCATAACATGTTTGGCTCACTCATGAATTTGCATGTGGCGTATTTGTAAAATAGTTTATTTGTGTTGATGGCACCATGTTCATTTATATCGCTCCCGTCTGCTCAGTGAGAGCAAAAAACGAGATAGACCTTTCTAGATTGAAGGCAAAAGGAGTTTTGCTCACCTGCATCCCTTGATGCCTCCCAGCCATTGCTTAGCGAAGTATTCACCCAGTTTCTGGTGGTGGCCTCGATGGCCAAAGTGTGAAGTGCTGCAACTGGTTGCGGATCGAGGAATGCCTGGTCTAAACCAACCGTGGCCAAATGATCCGATCTCTCATTACCAGGTACTCCCGAGGGACCTGGCACCCAGAGTAAAGCAAGCTCGTTATGTTCACCAACATAATTTAGTCGAGACTTGCATTGCCGAAATAGTTTGGAAGTACTTAGATAGAGGGCTTGCCAATGCCTTAAGTGCAGCTTGGCTATCACTGCAGACAAGTAAACTCCTCCGCCTATTTCCAACCACGTAGTCCATCGCGCTTTGAGCATTGCAAATACCTCGGCCTGGAAGACGGAAGCTTATCCCCATTAACGTCGAAAAACACTCCAGATCCTTACCCAGAGTCAGTTCTGGAGCCATCAGTGAAGATTCCAAAATGTGTGAGTCCGTGCTCAGTACTGGAATTAAGCCAGCATACAGCCTCAGGGATCTCAACATTATAGATCCTAATTTATCCGAAGAAAAAATAAACACAGCACATCATAGCAACAATTTTTCACTATGTTTTCGATTTTTCATGTATCTGCTGTTGTACCATATACGTGGTTCATATGACGGACATAAACTGTCATATATCATGAACCGCTGGACCGAATTCGGGCACACTTCACATAACAGATCTGCATGATAGTCCGAATATACCGTTTAAATTTGGTAGAATTTGTGCACTTATTTTTTTTATTTAAGATGGGAGGTGCCACGCCCCCTTTTCCGATACCGCACATTTATCTCCATGGAAATATTTCAAGAGATATACCAGATGAAAATTTTTGTTAGTATGGGTGGTGCCACGCCCCCTTTACCGAATTTGGGGAAACTTAACACAAACCATCTGCATAATAGCTTGAATATGCCGTATAAATTTGGTTGAATTCGATAAAGCCGTTCTCAAGTTATAAGCTCACACCAAAAACGTACAGATACATATGCCACGCCCCCTTTTCCAAATTTGGGCAAACTCCACATAAAATATCTGCCTGATGGCCCGAATATGCTGTATAAATTTGGTTGAATTCGGTGAAGCCGTTCTCAAGTTATAAGCTAACTCACTAATTTGTATATATAAAATAGAGGCGCCACGCCCCCTTTTCCGAATTCAAGCAAACTTCACGTAAACCATCTGCACGATAGCCCGAATATGCCGCATAAATTTGGTTGAATTCGGGGAAGCCGTTCTCAAGTTATATGGTCACACCAAAAACGTTCACTTATTTTTATATTTTAGTTAGTATGGGTGGTGCCACGCCCCCTTTTCCGAATTCACGCAAACTTCGCATAAACCATCTGCATGATAGATCGAATATGCCACATAAATTTGGTTGAATTCGGTGAAGCCGTTCTCAAGTTATGAGGTCACACCAAAAATGTGCAATTGTTTTTATATATAAGATTTATTTTAAACCTAATAAACAAATTTGCATATGTAACATGTAACATGTAACAAAACATTAATCGAGCCGATCGAAAAATATTAATTTTCAAGAACTATACCATTTCCACGAAAAGTTGTTTTTTTTTTCATATAAAACACATGGAAAATTTTGACTCTTGAGCGACCTCTAAATATTTTTTGATTTCAAATTTGAAAATATATTTTATATATATTTCGCCGGTATAGAACAATCCTAAGGGGTGAGAGTATTAAAATTCCGACTTTACTTTTTTTTGTCTATAATATTTTTAAATACTTTTTCGTCATATTTTACAGTCAGTTTTATATACAAAATAAGTTGGTTCGCGAAACTCTTAGCAACAATTTTCGGATCGCCATTGCAACTTGCCGACGTGAGTTATGAATGTCGACTCGTTTCAATGATGAAAATTGTTGCTAATGGGTTACAGAATGTTATGCATAAATTATTTTCCAAATTGTTTTAAATTCGCTAACTCTTTGATGTTCGCATATGACATTTAACTTTTTTCTGTTGTTCGTAAACTTTCATTTTGTTATAATCTTCAGCTGGATCGGAATGCATTTGCGTATATCTTAATAAAAATCGTCCTTAACTATAAAATAAGAGACAATTCTATGATATCAAGAAGCTCCGAAAATAAAGACTTACTTGGGCTACCGTTTGCAAAGCACATCAAAATTATTTTAGATGATTGGCTGTATAATAAACAAATTTAATAATAAATAATTTTTGCGTGGACAGCATATCTACCGGTCTTTAATTTCACAGAAAACATTGGTCGCTTATTTCGCAAATATAAAGATGTATGAACTTCAATTTTCTTTGTTTCTCAAATCGAAGAAAAGTTTTCTTTCAATTCTGTAAATTATTTAAATACAAAAAATGATTTTTGAGGAAATGTCACAATCTGCTTAATTGTCATGTAGTTAATATAGCGCGCGAAAAGTGACAATGAAACTACTTTCTTTTTAAACTATTATTCAAAAAACTAATAAGTAATAAAATTTTATAATTAAATCCATAGTTATAAAAAATTTATATTTCTTGCTTCTATCTGCTTATTTGCATAATGAAAAACAAACTTATAGGGCCTAGGGGCCAACCACCAACCAAGAAATATGAATGTGTGTTGTATATTTTGGTAGCTTCAGCTTTAATACTTAAGAAAAAAATAAATTACAAAAAAAAATATTTTTTTTCTACGCTTTTATCCATGTTTTACAGCACGATCTGGCCACCAAAATCAAAACTAGACTAAAAATTTCGCAGTTGTCGCCATACGCAACACAAATTTTTGAACAATCATCCCTACGCTGGTTGTCGTAAGTCGTTCGCATCGACAGTCGTTCGCTGAATTACGTCGTAAATAAAAACATTAACGGCAGATTTTAACACGTTTTCAATACTTCTTCATTTCGAAGGGATAATAGGTATACAAATTTGTATTTGAATAACACAAGCATGAGCAAAATATTAAAATAATTTTTATTTTAGCGCAATAACTGTGCAATTTAGTACAAACGACCCCATACACCACACAAACGACCGACGCAAGCGCAAGTGGTTTAGGGGCCCTATAAAAGCGGCGTGAGCAAAGAAATTTTGGGTTTTGTTTCCCTTATAAGAGTTACCATATCAAACTTATAAATATCTATATATAATTTGTGAGACTTTAAATAACAAGAAAAAAATATATTTACCTTTAGACTAGTAATACTATTCATAGTTTTCAAACATTCATTTCTGCCAGTCGAAAGTATCAAAATACGGCATTTGGGAACAAAAAAGTATCAGATATTACAATTTAGAAAAAAAAAGTATTAATAATTATACAATTGTTCAAAACGGCAACGTTGATCGTGATGGAAACCGAAGTTAGTTAACATCTTGTCGTCATAGCGACGATGGAATTAACAGCGTCAGCCGAGTGAAAATACTGCTAAAGTAACAGAGGCAGCGGCGCTTTGCTTGCCTCACCGCTCGTGCCATAAATTCAAATTGGTTCGATAATCGACATGCGTCTCCTGTATACTGTTTATTCTGTGCTACAATGCAATGTATCTATAATTACAATGCAATGCACACGACATCAAGTTGGCAACACTGTTAGTTTCTGGTAATGGTTGACAAGCGTGTTTGGCGGCAGTTGCAAAGCGAATGGACACATTTTTAAAAAAGGTACACCATGAATTCGGCTTTAAAGACATACATACATATATCTGTGCTTTAACTTTCTAATATTTCAA